TGTTTATTATTTCTTGTGTCCTTTAGAAAATTGCACTTCAAATACTAGAACTAATAATAAAAATATTCAGATCTTACATTGATCACACAAGTACTACTTTCTCACGCAGGTTAACTTGATTTCGTCTCCTTTCTCTTTCTCTTTTAGAGACGCCTCAGACAACATGGATTAACCCTAGTCCTCCTCCATAGGGAAGGCATTGCGTGGGAGTAAGGGTCAAAGAGTTTAACTGATTAATGATCACATGAATCAAAGTTGGTTGCCTGTATGTGTGTATATTCTTTAACATAGAACTTTTTACTTAATATGGATATTTGCATATTTTCATTTTAAATCAATTTTTAAATGATTTACTTTTGTTATTCATTTCAATATTCCTCCTTTTAATTGGAGGCTTTTATAATTGTATGGTTATTCAAATAAAAACAGTGATTCTGCCCTGAAAGTGGTAACCACCTAATCATTTAAATCAAAGCTTAGGAATAAACGAAAGTAAGCAATTTATAAAGGCAAGTAAGTAATTCTAACATTTTTGATAGTGAATTTTGAAAATCTACCAAATTATTGTGGGTAATTGGCGATAAGTATGTATCTATATATATATATATATATATATATATATATATATATATATATATATATATATATATAATCTATTTTTTCTTCAGTGGTTTGTACAACTCTGAGTTTCATGCACAATTAGGTGATGATTGAAAATTTATTTCGCATAATTTAAATATTGATATTTATACTTTACTGTAATGGTAGTGAAGCAATTCATTTATTTTAGGTGGGAGGATGGAGGTAATAAAATAATATAAAATATACATATATTTGCACATATAAAAATACACATATACACACACTTGCATTCCTCAAAATACAAATATATAACTCTAATTTAAGTCGAATATGTAATTTTAAATTTAATACAAATGTATACACAAATATCATGGCATATCCACACATACAAATATATATATATATATATATATATATATATATACATTTAAATTGATATACGAAGGTGTAAATACAAAATTTCATAATATCTATTTACGTATCAACATGTTTGTTACGATATTAATACAAAAATGTAACTCTATGCACATCTATGCAACTCATTAAGAATTGCCATGAAAGCTAATCAATTAAGAATACAAATAGTTGCATTTCTTGGGTCCATAAGATCAACAATGAAAATAAATATGTTTTCATAAAATATGATATTAAGAACGTTTACCAATCTATATCCGGAAAAGGTCTACTGGGAGTTTTGCATTTCGCCAAAGACTTTGTTGAAATAACACCTGAGCGAACGGAAATAATTTTACATTGCCGCAAATCCATTTTATTCCATAATGGAGCAACCTGGATTAAAAAATCGAAAAAAAAAACGGATTAGACGTACTACAATATTCCTTTGATGGCGCTGAAATTTCTGAACTAATAGGCCTGCATATTTTATATGAAATCAACACGACGGTCCATATAAACAACGACTATATAGGAATGACGGTCTGATGATAGAATCAAACAACAAAAAAACTAATGACACAATTAAAAAGACACTTTTTAAGCTCTTTAAAAACCTCGGACTTGAAATAAAACTCGATATAAATTTAAAAAATCGTTAATTATCTGGACGTTGAATTGAACCTTCTTACTGGCAGTGTCACCCCGTATATAAAACCTAACGCAAATTAAGATATGTAAATATTAGATTCAAGCTCCCTCCGAATATAATTAAACATATCCCCCAATGGAATAGAGTCTACGTTACCCAAAAACTCTTCTTGTAAGACATTTTTTGAGGAAAAAAAGAAAGAATATGAGAAAAATTAAAAGGTAGAGGGCCACAAGGCGAATCTAGAACTTGAACCTCAACATATTAAACATCATACGAAAGCCATTTCGAGGAAAAGAAAAACATATTATTTAGTTCAATCCCCCTTTTAACTTGGAGGTGAAATGTAATATAGATAAATTATTTTCCAAGTTGCTTTCTATACACTTCCCAAAAAATTCAGAATTACGTAAGATATTCAATAAAAATACAAAAAAATGAAGCTACAATTGCACTAGTAATTTAGATACAATAATAAAATGACAAAGTACTAGAAACCTCAAAACTAACATGCCACAAAATAACACTAGTAATTTATGCAACTGTAGAAATAAATTTAGATGCCTATTAAATGGAGCTTGTAAAACGGAATCAATAATTTATAAAACAGAAGTGACTAATATTAATGTTCAAATTAAAACGTATATAGGTTGTACAGAAGGTCCTTTCAATTGCAAGAGATATAATCATATATTATCTTTTTAATGCTCCACCAAACTTGCCAGTCTGAAATTTAAAAAAAAATAGTATAGATCCGATCGTAAGGCGGAAAATTTTTTTAAATTTACAATTATATAACAATTATACCTGTATTTTCAAACGATGCCAACATGAGAAATTAACGATTATGACATTTCTGGGTCCCAAAAATCTTTTAAACCAAAAATTTTAAGCCCTTTCCTTCAAATAAAAAAATTTTATTGAGTCAATATGAGACCAGATAAAAAAAAATTTAATTTAAAACCGCCTTGTTATTTTAAAGATACGCTCATCTTCCCATCATCCCTTACATTTTCGCTTAACCCCCATAAATGATTACACTATAGTTATTTTCCAAGCGTAGCTTAGATGTGGCACAAGGCCGAAAGTATGGGGCACCCAGTGATGATCAAACTCACTACTCAGTTGTAATTGTTCTAGCGAGACAAACTTGCTAACCATTACACCACCTGGAGGTGCCCAAATGATTACACTATAGGTAGTAAGTACTTATAAAGTCAACCGTCTACGAGAGACTCAGAGGAGAACGAGCGAGAGAAACGACGCAAGCACGTCCGATCTTCCAATTAGTGGCACTCACTACTACAATTGACCTGTGTGTATAACTGTACAGTATTTCATATTGTACCTGTTGTGTACAATAAACCTTTCTTCTAGTATCCACCTGGTGTTACTTATTTATTCCCTTAGCACGGAATATAACATTCTTTTTTCTTCTCCATATCCCCTTCCTTTCTATTACACTCATTGTTATGTTTTTCGATCATCATGCGTCTGTTAATTTATTTTTGAAAAATAATTATGTAGTGTTCTTTGTGTGTGTGTGTGTTTTTTTAATAAAGAATTAAGGTGGTCATTTTAAAAAAATATCGCCCGAAGAGACTGTCATAATAATAGCTGATCACTCATATTCGAGTATACCCGTCTACTAGGGCGGCTAGACAATCCCTATTGCAGACGCATGCTCTGTGGTTTATCCTGCAACTATGCTGAGCGGACTTTAGTGACAGTTTCTGGGAAAGAGCGTGTTATCTAACGTGATCAACAATTTGAACAAGGGTAACACGTTGAAGCCATCGGCCACGATGACTTGTGAATTCGTGCTAGCACAGCTAGCGACGGCCTCCAAGGGTTGCGTCTACCCAATTTCACTCGCAAGTCTCGTGTAATATAGTTTTTAGGTACTTTCCAAAGGTGCTACTCGCTGGGATCGACCCCTCCAGTCTGATAATATTAGGAAGTTTCCTTCCTGACAAATCGACTATGGTGAGATTCGAACCCGTGTCTCATTGTCAGAATATGAACGATCTAACCACTCGGCCATATACATATATATATACGTAGATGTACACGTATATTTCAATATATATGTATGCACACACACACATATACATAACTTCCCATAGATTATTGAGATAAGATTGCCTAGATTTCTTAACAGATCGCAATTTGTAAAATATACTACATCTTTCATCATTTTGATTCCCTCGATTCCAGTTTGTTCAATGATCTGAGCTTTGGTTAAAAGGATTTTTAGATTTATTTTACGTTCGATTGAGGAGACAAGATCTTAAATCCTTTTTCTTTGCTTCTGGACATATTTCCAACAGCCCCTTTTATCAGTCGATGATCTCTGCGAAATTGTTTGGATATCTCTAATGTTGACGTTCTTTCACTCATTAACTTTGTTATTTTCTGCTTTTTCAGCCACCATTTCATTCAACATATATTACGGAAGAAAAGAAAAAATAGTATTTATTAGATTTCAAATGCCTTAAACCAATATTAATTTAATCTGTATAATAATTTCAGGTTGCAGTTTTTGTAATTAATCTAATAACTTTAATAAAACCTGTTGAACTACCTAAGTTAACCATTCATCATTTGAAATTTGACATCTTTCTAAAGAATTAATGGATTTATTTATAATCCGACATTTTTATTACTTCAAAGAAGCGGCCACAATAATAAAACACACACACACACACACACACACACACACACACACATATATATATATATATATATATATCATTTCCTAAATACTGATCACGTGTTTCTTGTTTATTTTTCAACACAACTTATATATAAATATATATGTATATATATATTTTTTCAGCACAACTTATATATATATATATATAAGTTTTGTGGAAAAATATATAAGAAACATGTGATCAGTATTTAGAAAATGATCGTACTGATATTTTTCCACCAAACGTTTTACTCGTTTTTCTATATATAAGAGCGTTTCCTTTAATAAAAAAAACTTATTTGTCTGAAGAAGTTCTTTCTCGGAACGAAACGTGTCACTCAGTATATTTTCTATTTCATGCGTGTGTGTAGTGTGTGTGTGTGTGTGTGTGTGTGTGTGTGTGTGTGTGTGTGTGTGTGTGTCCGCGCACGCCTGTGCGCGCATGCGTGTGTGATTCGTACGATTTCGTGTCTGTCCATTTTATTCAATTGTCATTAGTTCATCGTTAATTTTTTTTTTATAACTTTTCTTTTCAACCAGACTTTTACGGATTAGTGGTTTTGGCATCTCTTTGATACGAAAAATCGGGAAAATGTACAAGTTCACTTCGACGTCGGAGCAAGTTTTCTAAAGTTGTCCAGCTAAAAATAGAAATGCCAAAAGCCGACTTGCTTCGTAATGGAAGTGATTATTTCCTCATTTTCTAGCATCGATCAAGAATTGATTCATTGGCACCACAAGGACGTGAGATTCTTCTGCCGGCCACTGGCTGCCTGTCAAACATCAGTGAAGCTTTTACATTATTGATCCTCTTTCTGCTTGCGAGTTTGAAACAGTGTGTGAGTAAGAGAAAGAAAAACAAAACTGAAGGTGAAAAAACAACAGAAAGGCAACTTGAAAAAATGGTACTCTTTAATTATTCCTTCATACTGGAATTACCAAAACACTTCAAGAGGCCTAGAATAGTCCAGATCATATCTTAACAACATTAGATATGTAGATGACACAGTGTTGATAGCAAATGCAGAAAATAAATTGAAGTTAGTTAAGGAAAGCGAGAAGAAAGGACTAATTGTAAGTAGACAGACTGTATGGTTGCCAGGAAAAAGAAGATTGATTGATTGAGTTGTATTATACGACATCAACCCTTTGCAGCTTATTTAAAGCCAGGAAATATTATATTGTAAGATTTATTTAGATAATAATGATTCACTGATTCCAACAAAGTAACCAATAGCGAGGTGGAGTGGAAGAAGTGAATTCATAATTTTCCCGAGTCTATTAGTGCGTAAGAAAAAATGATGAACAAGAATAACGACTAAAATTGGAACTCAGCTCTCAATTCTCAATTGGCAAGAAGAAGAAAATAACCCATTTAATGATTTTAATGATTTTAATGGCGGAGAAAAGACAAAGATATTTGGTAAATATTCTAACATTGTTTAAAACTACAAAAGACAGTTTGTTTTGGAGAGACGTGGTCACTCACATCCTGAACGGACAGGGATCATAAAATAAAAACGCACTCATAGGAATCTGGTTTGACCAATTGATAAATTACCCACACTTTTCATCGATAACCAATCTGGAGTTAGTGGCACAGTAAAGTAGATACATCATCATCAGCAGCAGCATCACGAGTCCAAATACCGGTTGGGGTTGTAGGATCGATGCACATCTGAGCACTTGACCGATTCCTTCCACATAATCTGCGTTGAAAGCCGGAGGTATTCATTCATGTATAACGTGTTTTTCTTTTGTTTTTTTGGCAAGTAGACCCCTGGCATGTTCCAGATCAAAATACAGTCGAATATCTTCCAAGGTCAAGGCACGCCTCGATCACAGACACGTGGATGTTGATTTTATGGCGGGGGGGACCTCCGCCCTGGCTATTGACATCATTCTAGGAAAGTCCTCCGCCCAGCGAAGTCATGTCATCATTGCACGAACTGCATAGATAGTTATAGAGACCAATCTACCCTATTGTGCTCGATGGGTGCTGACTCTGCAATGAGAGTCATCCGGGTTTGATAGGTATTTTATTTTTTAATCCTGCCGGATGTCTAGCAACCCTCATCACAAGAAGAACCAGTGTCCAAGTGGTTAGAATGTTCACTTTCCGACCATACGAGCTGAGTTCGAATCTCACCATGTTGACCCCAGAGTGAGGCATCGTTGGTACATGCCTTAAAACCATACTAAGTATTGACCGAAGCGTTATGAATGAAATTGGTTGACGGAACCGTTTCGGAAACAGTCGATGGCTGTGCTAGCATAAAGTCACAAGTCGTCGTGACTGAGTGTTTGAGTGTATTGGACAAATTATGCGCCCTCTACTAAAAACCTTTTGTTTTGTCTATTTATTTTAAGTAAGTTTATTTCATATTGTCTGATAAGCTTAATAACATTATCATTGAGAGACGAAAGGAAATCACCATATTGATACATGTTTAAATCCAATCTAAGCTTCCGGTTTACATAAGCCATTATCAAAGATGACAATTACTTTTCAATATATCAACCAATACACAGACGAAACAATAATGATAGTCTATTTTTGTTGCATGAAAAATTTCAAAGCAACAACAAACTCGTGTATACGAGACGCGGAAGGGAAAAATCGCGTCGCAGCTCGTGACGTCACGCAAGACCACGCGAGAGTGAATATATATATATATATATATATATATATATGTATACGTAGGGATTATTCCATAAAGAACTTTTAGTCCGTATGAGAGCTCAATATATGAATGGATGATACAAAGCAAATTATAATAATAATTAGGAAGAAAAACTTTAAAATCCATATTCGGTAATAAATTTATTTCGATGAATATACTTATATATGAGAACAATATAATACAATCATCAGTGGTGATGATTGTATTATACAATGATGATGATGGTGAGTACTATACAGACAGCACATTAACTGCCTCAATTTGTAAACTTTGACACTTTTCAACTAAATTCAATCATCCTATCTCTTTACCTTCCATTACTCTTTATATTAACTTGTTTTCTCTTCTGTCTGTAAACCCACTAAGAAAACTTTTCTAGGCCAATTTTGTTTCATCTTGTATTTTTTTCTTTCCTTTTTTATCTTTGTATATCTGTCTGCCTGCATATATTGATTACATTTCAGAAAATGTATGCCTATATTCATCGAAATAAATTTATTACCGAATATGGATTTTGAAGTTTTTCTTTCTGATTATATATATATATATATATATATATATATATATATATATATATATGATGGACTCTCCGGTCGATTTCGACATATCCGCCAACTTCATTCATTTATTATGTTTATGTCCTATGTCAAACTTCAGTCCCGCCAGTGACCCGCATACAATCCACATATTGTGCAACAGAGAGGATCTTGGTACATAGGAACATTTTGTCATTGTCTTTCATCATTAGCCTGTCAATACGACTGACTTCAAAATTTCTGATATCTTGTATACTAATATATATTATTTATATATCTTTTATACTAATATATATATTATTTATATATCTTTTATACTAATATATAATATGCCGGTTTGGTTAAAAATCAGTTAAACTTCCTTTTTTAATCATTTCACCTCAAGCAATGCGATAAATCCACTAAGACGCAAGGGTTATTGTGTGCATTAGAATATGTGAAAAAACACTATTAAAGAGAGAATATTAAAAAAACAAGAATTTTTGAAGATCAAAGTTGACTGGAAAGCAAGGCAATGGAAGAGAATTCACAAGCGAGAAATGGGATAAAGGAACTGTTAGCATAGAAATTAAATGTAAATAGTAAAATAATTAAACCTGTCAATCACTTGCTGCTTAAAAAGAGTTCCACAAACGAGAAGGGCGTAAGATTTGATTTCATTTTTCTTCTATTAATCAAAGAAATTTTTAAGTAGATTACGTTTTACCAAAAATGACAGTCACCAAAATGACAATTTTTATACAAGAACGATCTTATATAAAGTCGTTTGCTTGCATAGAGAAATGTCAGTAAAGACAAAATTGAGTGTTTGAAGTTTTTGTAGTGTTTACCGGATCCTCTTCGATTTTTATTTATTGTCTGCAGGTGATATATACCTAATGATTATATTTTTCATTATTTTTTTCATCTTTTATACAATTTCATTTCGTCAAAATAATAAAATTTAATCATATATCTTTATTGCTGTTCGTGTGTTACTATGATTAATTGTCTGTAAAACCAATTGTATTTGTTCAATGATTATATTAGGTGAGTCATCGTTACTGTGTTTAATATTCGATATTTATCCAAAATTGTTTTAGAGAAGATCTTAATGGAGCCCAGTTGAAAAGATTTTATTTTTTATTTTTTATGACAATTATATTGTACTAGTGAGGAATTTTCACATTGATGAGGAATATTCACTTTGATAGTTATGAAAACAGAAGTTAATACTGGTAATTCCTTTTATTATATGATGTGTAAAATAATTCTGATCTTTAAAATCGATATTTTCACAAGTTTTCAACAAAGATTAAGACATTCAACAACAAAAGAAATAAATCATAATGGTTAACAGGCATTTCATATACTTTGCCTTTTAATCATTTCATAGCAACTAAGGCAATAAAGCCACCAAGACGCAAAAGAAAAATAAATATATTATTATCACCAGAGACCAATAAAAGAATAATGATTTAGAAGACAGAAGAAATTGTATTATTTTTTTGCAAATCAAAATTGATTTGGAAGAAATCAGAAAAGAGTTCATTAATGGACGAATGGTAGATTTATAAAAAGTGTAAGATAGATTCTAACGAGAAAAAACTTGTCTCAAAGAATCATTTATACGAATACAAGAAAAATGTAATAAAACGTTTAATCGCAGTGTCTTGCCAATTGTGCTCAACAAAACCTGTATCAAAGAGTGATTTCTGCCCAAATATATGCCTGCGTGTCATAAATACGTACATAGGTAAAGAGACGTGAAGAAACACAGAAAGAAAATGTTTGCTCGTAGTTCTTCATTTTGTCTCGAATGGTTGCCAACTGTTTTTAATTAAGGCTAAGTCAAGCCTGACCAAGGCTAACAGTTAATCTTTCCAATATCAATTTTGGCAAATCCAAGTAACGGTCTGGCGTACGCTCTGTCCAATCTTATCTTTCGTTTTCCGATTGGTTTATTGATTTTTGTCTGAATGTGAACGCCTCGACTTTGAAGTCGCACAAAAAAAAAAAACATCTATATATACCTACTTGTCATCTTCTTATTGTAAGTTCGAACGAGACGGGGAAAAGGTCACTTAAAGGTCGAGCTTTCTCATGCTGAATTACGTGAGGAGGAGGAGCCTGTCACCGATTTCAAGATTGGTGTAACACAATCTTCTGGAAATGCTGAAATGCTTTTTAGTTTAATTCCGAATCTATCTTTTTTTTTATGTGCCATGTCTCTTCCGGACGTTGGCTCTTGACAACTTCCAACAACATATTTTAAGCTTTAAAATATTGCAAAAAAACACATACTTCATGCAATATACATAAATGCTTATATAGAGAGATAAGATGTTTTGGCATATTAATCTGCTAATATTTTCAAATATATTTATTTCACTTAAACAGGTTTTGCGTAGAATAGCGGTTAGCGGCGCGCAATACAGAATAGGTGTTTCGAGTTCAAATTCTAGCCATTTTCTTTTGCGATCACCTTCGCATAAATACCATTATAAGAGGATTAATCTCTTCTTCCCCGCACAATGGCTTGAATAGCAGTGCCTACCGGTTGTCTGGCTTTGGTTGGGAACCGTTCTCAGAGAAGAATAACTGTGACTTAAGAACGGAGTGGTCATAATTCTAGCAACTCCAACCCATAAAACATTCTTGCTATACAAAAAACATACTTCCTGCATAAAAAAACATATTTGCTACATAAATAAAATATACTTGATATATAAAAAAACATGCTTGATACATACAAAATACATAGCTGCTACATAAAAACGTATTTGCTACATACAAAAAACATACTATATAAAACCATGCATGATAAAAGCATAGTTACTGCTTAAAAATCATACCTGCTACATAAAAATGTACTTGCTACATACAAAAATCATAATTAATACATAAAAAGCATACCTGCTACATAAAAAACATACTTGCTACATACAAAAAACATGCATGAAACATAAAAATCATGCTTCCTACAATAAAAAAGCATACACGCTATATACAAAAAATATACTTGCTACAGAAAAAAATGATTGCTACATCAAATATACTTGATACATAAAAAAGGCAAACTATATACAAAAATATAGTTGCTACATAAAAACGTACTTGCTACATAGAAAAAAACATAATTACTACATTAAAACATGCAAGATAAAAAATACTGTCTACATAGAAAATAATATGCATGATATATAAAAAACATGCTTGCTATATAAAAAACATACTTGTTTCATACAAAAATTATACTTGATATATAAAAACATACTTTTACTTACAGAAAACATGTATGATTCATAAAAAAACATGCTCTCTACATACTTGCTACATAAATAAAACAAACTTGATAGATAAAAAACATATTTGCTGCACAAGACACATACTTGCGACATATAAAAACATATTTGCATAAAAATCCTACTTGCTACATCAACCTGAGAAGCAACACCGAGTGTAGTGAGGCTGTGGCCCTATAATCCACAAGGGAATCTAATGGCACTAAAAAGACGGGAGATGGAAACACTGTGTAATATTCCCTAATCAGCAGACACGGTGTGATGTAAATAAAATAATAAATTTGTAAAACCATTTTATCAGTGGAAATGTGAATGAAGAAAAAACGAGAGCATTTGGGGAGTTCACTTTCATATTTGACCTAATCTCCAGGCAGTAAAAGCAAATTATTATTATTAGTAGTAATATTAGTATTATTATTATTTTAATTTTTTACACACAGGAAAATTGATGCAAATATTCAAGACATAGTCATAAAAGATTTCAAAAAAAGGAACCTGCTGAATAATTGGTATGACTTGTCCGCAGAATTCCATTGTTTCAAAAAAGTAATTTAAAAAAATGTCAAATTACAAGGACTTGCAAATCGACTCGAAGTAACAAAAATATGGAAACTTAAAATTACGATTATCTCTGTTACGATGACGTCATTAGGTGTGACAAAGAATAGTATATGTGAGTGAAAATCCTGGAGACATCAGCATCTGAGAGCTACCCTCTTCATCGAAATGAAACATCCCCAGATGTGCATAAATAACTCTCCTACAGTCACCTTTTTTATTCATAGACCCCGGAAAGGACTTAATAATTAATACGATTAACATGACACGAAGTGAAAATCGATAACATTCGCTGATTGACAAGACAACTTATTTTGTGTTTTTACTTTTTCAGCGCGTATCTCGTTTTACTATTTACATTATTCGGACTATTGTCCTCATCTTTGTGGCCATATTTATTACAACATTTCGGCCGTTGTACGCTCTGGCCTTCTTCAAGTGGTTGGAATGTCGAACTGAACCCTTTATTTCGCTCACTGGGGTAGACTGTTCTAGTTCCACGTGCCATGTTTAATGGAGTTATCAGTTATTTCTTGTTAATTCCCCTCTCCAAGTTCTCCACTGCCTTAATGAAACGTTGTAATAAATATGGCGACAAAGATGAGGACAACAGTCCGAATAATGTAAATAGTGTACATAATACCTCATCTCAGAAATATAGACAGGTATCTCGTTTTGTTATACTTTGTGATCATATGCTTTGAAATTGAAATGGTCTCGAATTCGAAAGATAATCAAAACGAAAAAAAGCAGCGTTATCAGTTCAAGAGAAATTAAAAGAAGATGGTGTGGAAGACAAAAAACGAGATCCTGGCGAAATATATTACAGGGAAATGCTCAATCAGCGATATTTTGATAATCGATAAAATTTTAGAATTTTAAAAGAATTAAACGTGAATTGGGAATATCCAAATCGATCCAATTTATTTCAGCTTCGAGGGTTAGTGGCAGGAAAACTGTCGAAAAGTGGCAAAAATTGATGCATTTTTCATAAATAATTAACTGAAAAAACTTTGAACAAAACGTTTGATGATATAAATCTTAAATTTCTTACAGAAAGTTATATTTACTTAATTCTTTTTGGTAATTTACGTATTGAGTTAATCGCAATCTTGAAATATCCGAACATGTTTTTGCAACTTTGTCCCAAGGAGTCTGGATAATCGAGAAAGAATTGTAAATAGTGTTCGAAACTGTCTTCATATTTGGTGCCGTGTCTTCAAGAATCAAGGTGGGGGGGAGTGAACTATTCACCGCCCCCAACCCTCATGGTTCTCTTTTTTTCACAGACTGTACCCAACTGACCCTACTAAAAATAAAAAACAAACAACGCACATGCGCGAAATTCAAAATATAAAATGGCATCAATTTCCACATCGTATATAATATATATATATATATATATATATATATGTGTGTGTGTGTGTGTGTGTGTGTGTGTGCGTGTGTGCAACAGATGTTAGATCTTTATAGGCTACTTCATCTTCCATCCTCTCTACCTGTTCTTTCCTCTCTTTCTTTCTCCTTGTCCTTTTCTACCTTTCTCTCTCTATTACTTACCTTAATTTTTCTTTCTTTTTCTCTTTTCTTTTCTTTTTATCTCTGTCACTTTCTTTTTGTTGCTGCTTCTCCGTTTTTATCTTTACTCTCTCGTCCTTTTGGTCATGTTCCTATTTACTTTTTAAAATTTTCCTCTCTCTCTCTCTCTGTCTCTCTCTGTCTCTAGCTATCCATCCATCTATCTATCTATCTACCTATCTATCCATCTATCTATCTATCACTACAGAGGTTAGTTTTCAGCATTGTTTTATAATAAAAGAAAAGCCGGTTGATGAGGATATTAAAGACTAAGTCTATTTTGGTCAGTGTTTAATATTGATGATCTGACTCATTTCCAAAGATGGTTTATTAAGGATAACAAGGGATAATCCGGCTTATTTTCGGAAATAATGAAACTCTGAAAGTTGACAAACACATATTAATTAATGTGTGCCACCAGGAATGCCGAGAAAAGGTTGAAAATGTGGACTAGACAAAGTCAGACTGGAAACACAAAGTTCATTCAAGTGAGGAATAGAAGACACATGCAAGTAACCACCTATGAAATAGTAAGATGGAATTAAAAGAGATTTTAGACGTAAAAATAATTTAATAAGACCGCTCTTGTAGATGATAGCGAAATATATAACATAATTAGGACCTTTGCTAGAGGGAAAGCGCTCTATATACATGCCCTTGTGTGTGCTTCGTCTGTGTAGGATCGGTACTTCGGATACTGCGAAGCTATCACGTCGCAAATCTTGAAAAGCATTCAGAATAAGTTTATACTCAACAAATCTCTTTTTGGGTACCATTAATCTTTAATGTAAAAGTGTAGCCACTAATTTAATTAAGCCAATTAATGGCTTTATCTTTTTTTTTGTTTTGTTTTTGTGTTGTGAGTATTGACATGTTAGTCCATGTTAGTATTCGCAACATTCAAAAAAATGATAAACGCACTAATTATAAAACTTCAGACAGAATAGAATATTATTCACCATATAACGCTATCCTCTTCTGCTGGATACCTGGCTATATCGGCATCAAGGGCATCGGTAGGGCAGATTTAAAAGCCAAAAAAAGGCATCAGCCACTAAATTTAGTTCAAACACCAACGAGACCCCCCTGAGCAAACCTCAAATCAAAGAGGAATGAAAGAAACTATTATCCGGCTGGGTAAACTACAAATCATGTCACATCAAACCTTACTCTAGAAGAATAGCAGCAAACACTAAAAACAAGGGAAGAGGAAATAATAATGTCCAGACTTCCTATCGTACATTCCATGTTAAGTAATTTTTATATCGTAAAACAAGTGCCACCTCCAATCTGTACGGCATGCCAAGGACTATGCACAATAAAATACATATTAACAAATTGTAGCGACTTCAGCCAAATCCCTTTAAAATACTACAAAACAAATAACATGAAAGAAATTTTTCATGACATTAAGCAATAGAATATCCTGCAATTTCCTAAATAAATCACAGTATTCTAAAATATAACGTCAGCAAAACACCAACATAAAAGACACATATCACCGCTTCTAGCAATTATGTCCACACAAACATGTATATGCACAAAAGCTGCGTATCATCTACCATGTATTCAATTGTGAAAGCAGAATAACATATATCATATTATTATTACTTCAAAGCCACCAATCGGCCCTTCAAAAAGTGTAGATGGTTCTGCACGGAACCTTCACCACTATAATCAAATCTCATGTGCTATACATGCGGGTTTGGGGACCGCTTGTGAATTCCAAATTCCCATGAAACTCCAATATTAGAGCCGGCTCAACCCACCCCGTGTGAATGCCTTTACAAGACAAGAGAGAAGAAGATACTGAGAGCTATACTTAATATCTCTTGGAGACAACATTCAACTCAATCACATGGACCCATTCCTGGTATTTTTACAGTATTATGTGAACGCAAAATGCCCTTTGCAAGATATTGCTGGCGAGCAAATCAAGAACTTGTGAATGATCTACTGCTCTGAACATTTAGCCACGGGACAAGAAATACTGATCGCCCAGAAACCATCTTCATTGACCAGTTATGTTATGACACTGAATGCCATGACCTTCCGACCTTGATGCGCGATCGTGATGATTGGCGTGATAGACTTATGAATACCCAAGATAGCTCGACCGAATAATAATCTTTGCAATTATTCGGAACCTTAATTAACGACAAGGAGTAAGCACTGCAAATAAAAAAAATCTCTAGCCAAGTCTCAACTTGAACTACAAAAGGATTTAAAGTTGAAAGATGATCATATTTAATCATATAAATTTAATCTTCATTTTCTCCAGATGGTTTGAGGTCATATATGATGTTACTGCATCAACTAAAATTTCTTGTTGTCGAAAGAGAAGAAAAACAAGTTTTGGGGGTTTTTTTTCCGACGGAAAGTTCAATTTCTATCGAGAAATTATTCTTTATTTCCTATTCATCTTGATTAGTAATGGCCTTATCCTGACGATCTGGGTAGTTGAGATTAAAAGCAAATGAAATTACGATGACAGAAATACGAGTAAAAAATTAATGTTTGAAAATAGACATTCTGAGTGGCTGCAGTGAAAAGTATGAAAGACTTTAGGTTAAAAAAAAAAATGTATGTGAAGACATCCTTGCAGAGTATAATCCGCTGGGAGTTTCCTAACAACTAGTTTTTACAGATTAAAGTTGATAGCCCCACACTCAGATGGCTATGAAGCCCGAGTTGTTGCGATTCAAGAATTGTATTTATATCTTTCCAATTTCTGTGAATGCACCAGCCAACTCTGGAATTCGAACTTGGCGCACCAAGCTGATTTTTTGGCGCTCATAATTCGCTACGTGACGTGTACATCAGTAAGATGGAAGAAAACCTCTAGTCAAAAAATGAATAATGGCTATTAATACACTTCAAATAAGAATATTCAAAAATACTTTTACTATCACTTTTCCGTGCGAGCTTACGGTCGCATCACATTGAAACATCGATTCCCGTATGATCACTGAAGTTAAGCAATGTCGATCTTGGTTAGTACCTAGATGGGTGACTGCTTGAGAATACCAGGTTCCATAAACTTGGATGTGTGGGTGGTGTAATAGATAATGACTCGGAATTGTCAGTAGGAGAACCGAGTTCCAATTTCAGTTGGGTTCCTTATATTCACTTGCGCGCATTGAGAATGGTAGAAATCCACCTGTTCTCTCCCAGCTATGGGTTAATACTTATATCACTAAAACCTTTATTATCCAAAAATAAATAAAATCGCGTACTAAAATATTTAAATTTCGGCATTAAATAACCCATAGAAGTTGATATGACGCAAAACAAATGAACCAACCAACCCAACTGGCTTTAAATAACCTGTAAGGGTTGATAAGGAGTAAAATAAACCAATCTAGCCATCAAAAATTTTCCTTGAAGATGAATACATTAAAGAAGTGGCGTTATGATTAATATTTATAATTCAAGTGAATTAATTAAAAACGATGCCTCGTTTGTATAACATTTCTTAAAAAATTATCTTAAGCAACAAAGATATTAGCTCTACAAATATTTATAACATTTTAAAAGTGTTCAGTATCATTAACGTTTAATCTTGTTTTTTACTGATATTCACTCTATACAAGGCATAAGTGCCACTCAATGTAGGGAGTTACAGAAAGTGAGATTTGTTTGTGTGGTAAGCATAAAGGGTGAATTTTATTCACATGTGTGTGAAAGATAAAAGTTAACCGTAAAATTGAAATGGTTAAGATTATAGAGTTCGGGAAATTATGCGCCTAGTATTTTATTCGATAACAGAATCTACCCGAGTGTAACTTGCTCTTTTCTAATGGAAGACGAAGGGAATGCGGGTCGTTGGATCCTTTGAGCCCAGCGTTTCTGAACAATTTTAACCCTTCTACCTCTGCTCCTGAGTGAAAATTCAAAAATAATTGGTATGTAATTATTTACGGTAGACATAAAAAATGCTTACAAATTATGGCAAATATTCCCCCCCCCACCTATCGTCAAAAATGGACTGTGCCCGCTTATAGTTCTATTTGTACTAACTATTCTATTGTAGTGAATGAAACATAATTTGGGTGACTCTGTTCTGTGTCTTTTATTACATGTGTTTACCTACGGTTCAACCGGTAGTTGGGCATTACATAATTTTTCTCTACCACCGGTAAAGCGGTGGTCAAGGTTCAAAGTACAATGTACGCAGTTTGGTGTGGGCCTTAGCTGGGTGGGTTAGAGTTTAGGGAACTAGAGAATATATCACATCTGAACACGCTGTATGGAAATAACGATAGAGTATTCAAAGTCCTGCAACGTTTGTGATAAAGAATTGTAATGTAGAAAAAATCCATCACACACAAGGCCGTGTAGACGAATATGGACAGCACTGTAGTTCTAACAAATTTATGTTATCGTAAATCTGCTTGCAAACCTAATCAAGATTTGTTCTTTCGTGAAGAGATAAACAGTAGGCAAGACTAAAGAGTTCCTTCTGGAATAGCGTCCTGGGTATGACGATAAACAACACCCGCGTCCTTTTTAAGACGATAAACTACATCCAGCAGCAAGGCCTCTGATCAGGAGGTTTTGATGAGAGTGGAACCACCTCTTAATTGTTCCCAGGTCCACCCTGACCCGGGGTGGTAGCGCTTGTTAGGGTCCCAGATATGGGCAAATAGTTAACCCCGAAACTGGGGTCAAAACACTATAATACCAGAAATACCTTGTAAAAAATTATTATCAGCAATAGATTTTTGAAAAAAAAAACTATTACCAACAATACGTTTTTGAAAAAAAATATTACCAGCAATACAGTTTTGAAGGAAAATAAAATTATTACCAGAAATAGATTTTTGACAAAACAAAATATTACCACCAATAAAAATTTTGTTGGCATTAAATAACCCATTGAGGTTGATATGCCGTAAACCAAACCAAACCAAACCTTCTCGAATATGGCAGTAAGTCCTGCATTGTACCTTAGACAAGGCTTTGCACATGTAAAAGCACGGATATGAAGAAAGAGACCAAGAATATTTAAACATATATATCACATCTAAAACATATCTACTAATAGAAAACAGCGTTTTTCATCTAGCTGACAGTATACTGCTGATGGCATAAGTGATCATTCTTTGGTATAAGAATGATTATTCTTTACCAAGGGTTCCAAGAAGTTGGTCTCAAGATAAACTTTTCCAAAAGACAAACTATGATTTAGAACTTGAGTGAGAGTAGTAATGTAATATATCTAGTGAATCCACCATAAAAGTTGATTCAGAATATGGAATATTAATTCCATATTCTGAATCAACTTTTATGGTGGATTCACTAGATATATTACATTACTACTCTTACTCAAGTTCTAAATTTTAAACACTTCGGTATATAAGTGGCAGAAATTATTAGGAGGATTTGAGAAAAATTTAATCAGCAGTGCGCATCTACGTCATACCAATTGTACCAACGAGCCTCGGTGACGAAGAGGTAACGAATTAGACTCGATATAGCGCCGCTCGATCACATATTCCGTGGTGGAATTCATCCAAGTTTCTTTTACACATAGGATTGTGCCCCACCCCACGAGCCACAACTTTGGTATATGGTTAACAAATTTACTATAAGAAATAAGGAAAATAAACATAGTATAGTCTGCGAAAGATCGTATTAAAAAGCAAAGTATTAACCCGACAATTCGAGTTGTGTTCTTAAATACTCTCGTCATATTTAAACACTGATATATGTGACATGTATGATGTCCAAACCGTTCAGGAATTTCCGATTGAAGTTATCAATATTTACATTCGGACTATTGTCCCCATCTTTGTTATTGTTCTCATGACGTTTCTACCGTTGTGCCCTCCGGACTTCCTCAAGTGTTTATCGATCTGCAGGGAATTTCGAACTGAACTCTTTATTTAATCTACGTGGGTAGACAGTTCCCGTTCTACTGCCCATGTCTAGGGACTTCGTCTAGTTCTTAGTTGTAGTACTGCTTAGTTACTGTTGACCTGTTTCTACTGAGTCCAACTATACATTGCCCGATCCAGGGATTGAACTCACAACCGTTATATCACCAAATTCAGTAACCAATGCTTTAATCGACTAGGCCATTGTCTGTTGCATCTCTGGGGCAGGTAGTGTGTCCTTGGACTCAGTGGAAACGGGTGAACTATAATCGAGCAGTACTAAAAATAGACGATATCCTTAGACATGGACAATGGATCGAGAAGAGTCTACACCCTTAGATTAAATAAAGTGTTCAGTTCAGAAATGTGTAAACTATCAGCTATATACAACCGTTTTCTTCTCTCTATAATTAGAAATAGCTTTAAGCGAATGAATCATTTAGGACATTTCTTTATCAGCTCATAAACTTGCAGTACAAAATCACTAAGAGCTTTAAAATTAAAAAGATAACAAAATTAATACACTTGATCATTTCCAAGAGCAAGAACATTATAATATAAAAGTATGAGAGAGATATAATCAAGATTTTAACTTTTCACGTAGCCTTAAACAAGAGGGTTTGGGAGACAACTAATAATACTAGAAAGAGCAATCAGAGTCAATGAACTTATTTTTATTTGTCTTTAATAATCTCACCCCAATCAAGACAATAAAGCCACTGAGGCGCAAAGGGTTAGTGAGTGTTACATAATATGGTTTTTAACCTTCTACCTCGTGTAGGTCTTCGGCCTTGTACAGGGTGAAAATAATTGTAAAAAAGTTTTCTTGAACTATTCCTCGATGTTTCTCTGATTTTTAGCCCTTTAAGAGATTTGTCTTTCAATCCAAATATGTTTTATGTGAGTTTATCAAATAAAGCATGCTCACTTTGATGTCCTATTGATATGACGAGTGAGTTCACCTAACGATTTACAAACCTTATCACAGATATATCAAACCTTGCTGAACATTCGATTTGTACACATTGCTGTAGTTTGCATGGTGCCGACTATGGATGAAAAGACCAGCCTAAGATAAGCATGCCCTACCAAAGATCTCACAGTTAGATGTGTCTTCAATTTCAACCATATATTCTTTCATTTCAGCACCTTTAATTATTTGTCGAATAACAAATTCCTCACCCCTCAAAATCCTCAATAACATTAAGAGCGAGGTTTCGCCAACAGCCTATCTCACTCGCAGATTATTCCTAGGTCATTAAGTCTATATCTGGTCACTTTCTGTTAACATTTCACCCCAAACAGGAATAAATTGTATCATCAGCGTAGATACCAAGTTGAGAGCTGATGTCATCAGGAAGGTTATTAATGAAAATTAAAAATAGACTAGGGCCAAAGATGGAGCCCTAGGTGACACCTGCGTTAGTATCGCGACGAGTGGTCATTCAGAAAGATTCTGCAATATTATTGGTCCTGATATGGCGACTCAGCTACAGTTTCTTTCCCGCCAATATAAGGTTGCCTCTCTATGCCTTTTCTATAAATACTTTCATGGTAATTGTTCAGATGAGCTCGTCGCTATGGTACCTAGAGTTTTTGAATTTAAACACAGTACTAGACTGGCGTAGTGATCTCATCAATTTGAGTTTGCTAGATGTAACCGTAAAGTTTATGTTTACAGTTTCAGTTAGTAATGTCAATATCTATCTACTGTCTACCTGATTGCTTTCTTTCTGCTCATCATTAATGTTTCTGTTCCTAATTCTTCCACACCCGAATTGTGTCTTAGTGGTTTTACTGCTTTGCTCTGGGTGTTTCGGTTTAAAAAAAAAGGAAGGCAGCAAAGTCACTAAGACGCAAGCGGTTAGTGAGTTTTAGAGAATACGAGAGAAAAATAGTATTAAAGAGAGAGAAACGATAAAAATAAATTAAGACAGAAGATAACAGTTGACGTTGCATTTAAATTTTTGAAGATTTTTTATGTTTACCCTTATCCAATAGGGATTATTCTTAAAAATAAATAAGGCCGGTGCAACACCCAGCCCTTTCGGGATAAGTATTTGGGTGTGATTTTATGAGGCAACTCACATTGGATCAACATATCGTAATTAAATTTATATAATATTATAGTTACTGATATTTATTTTGTTTAA